AAACATTCGCACAATTTTACGTAAATTGTTAACTGAGAAAGATTGCTAAAAAGTTTTGTAATAAAATGATCATAGAATAACGGTGAGTGTAATAGTGGTTATTTATGATCCGCCGATGACTTGAAGGAATTTGGAGAAAATTGCAACAAGTCAGAAGTTATTAGTGACATAGCTATCAATCTTGTTCAGTGGATCTCATGTCACGTGTTGATTCTTTTATTATTTCACTTTATTCTTACCTAGATACGAAGTATTTTATTCTAATACATAATTTTATTTATTTATTCCTACGTAGAAGTAGGTAGGTAGTATTTTCTGCAGATTTATTTATGGATGTGTCTTCAGTCATATAAAACATAAGTCGTCTACGTGAATACATGCTTGACAATTTTTCAACCGCTAAGCAGCTTTGTAAGATCTGTTGGTTGAAGTCAGAGAAATTACAGAATAAGGGGCATGATACCTTAGTTCTACGGAATGGCAACGCATATTACCAGGTGAATATGCTATAAACATCGTCATATGGGAACTGGATGTCTGTAGTCCACTATATGTAGGAGCCTACATGTTCATCAACATCCAGTTGGATGTACGCAGATGTTGTCTATATATATACTCATATAAACAACAGTTACGATTTATTATCAGGGAGGGACTTCAGATTGTTTCTTATGCTAATTGCATAAAAAATACGCAGGCAAGAAATTACAGATTTATTAAGCAACTTCTACATTTTGAATGTTGAAAATACTACTGATTGTTTAGGAAATTCGTAATGTAGGTAATACCTAATTTCGAAACAACACAAACACTGTCCGACATTAAAGTGTACTGTTAAACAATTATTTTGATAAAGTTAGCAGATTGCGCTAGTCAGCGGGATGCCACAAGAAGCTTCGTGGTAAGCGGTACGGTACAGGAAAGTTAACGCTTTGTCGGCGTTTGAGCTACAATAATGATAGTAATGTAAGCTATGCACTTTGAGGATTCCGTGGTTTTAGTGTTTTCCTGTGTGGGATAATAATGAATCATATTTTTAAGTACCTACTTAGACATTACTTATATTACACCTTTTAAAAGAAAAACTTTATTGCTTAATAATAATGTTTTAAGTTTCTCCTCTCATTATAAACTTAGAAATAAGTTTGTAAAATTATCTCTAGAAATTGGAAGAATTTTGAATGGCTGGAAAAATAGTAACTGGATTTCGCTTGAAATATTATGTAGAGTTGTGCAGCCGATTCACTGGAAACTGAATATTAAAGTGGATTGGATTTCTCCGGTTCATCCAATATCGGGAATGCATTCATTCGCATTCTGGTGTTCCTACTACTTCACCAGAAGTGTGCTTGCATACCAATGGCATACAATTTGCAAAGTAGAGATGTAATGACAGTCACCGTATGATTGCAAATCAAAATACATCTTATATATTATATACGACATAACGTTTGTTAATCTCGCTAAAACTCGAGAACAGCTGAACCCATTTGGCTAATTTTGCTATTGAAATATTTGTAAAGCTCCAAGGAAGGTTTAGATAGTGGGGAGAAAATATAAAGAAATTGCACGGAAAATAGTAAAACAAACAATTTTTTTTCCCATACAAACTGTTCATACCTGTCAAATAGCTTTTTATCCGCTTAGAAATTTATTGTGTAACTAAACTTCCAAAAAACCTTTAACATATTATTTAATTCTGAAGCGAAACTGTTTGCGGGGTCAACTAGTTATGAGTATAAATAAAATGTGTCAATCTTAATTTTAGTCCCTTATGTATTCATTGTCTATTCTCATTACAAATGTTTGGGTTTACATATGTCTATATATGTTTTATTTTTATCTTTAACTTTCTTTTTCATTGCTACTCTATTTTTGTACGATAATCATGATTTCTTTTTCATTGAAAGAATTTTACAGAAACGACAAGAATTGTTTACTATACGTAATTTACATTTAAATTCTAAATTTTGTTAAAGCACCGCCCACATGAATCTCTTTTTATCTACAATGCTTAACTAGGAGAAAATGCCTCAAGGTGTTAAGTCAACCATGTGCACTTTTTTTAACAAAATAAATATTTTTTATGCATTAAAGTTTTAACTAAATAAATAAAAATGATTCGCTCTGGTACAAAATCAATGTAAAATTTATTATGAAGTCGTACCTTCTGCAATTATCATTCAATTACCACAAGAAGAGTGTAAATAATAATTAGACGCAGTGACGAACATTAGCATAACTGAGGCCAAGTTTTCATATTCCAACAGCTAATATGAAATTCCTGCTGAGGAACGAATATCTAATTCTGACTAAAGAACCAAAGCTGGTGTAACACCAGACATGAATATTAATCGTCTATATCTTCGGATGCAGACATTGTAGAAATCATCTTGGATCGCAGAAATGGAAATCGCACGCTTCACTTGCATTTTGTCATTAATATGATTTGAAGTTTCATATTCAAATAGCGAAATTCTGGATAAGTATACGCTAGCCGGTGGTATATTAAATATCGGAGATATGTTACTTGTCGGATTGTAAAGTCGTGCGGAAAAGGGTTCGTAGGTAATTCCTACACAATTTGGTATATCAAGTACGGTGCTGAAGTTTAAACTGTATTGAATTATGAATATACAAATATAAATAAGACATGAGTTTAGAAATCAGTTTTGCCCCTTTGTGATAAGCTTATATTAACTTCATTAATTATAGAATGTATACCAAAGTACGAATTTCAAATGATGCATAGAACAATATTTCACAATGTTTAATTATTCAGTTACTATCTTCATTACTGTGCAATCTGAAATTCGTTTAATAATAATTAATATTTTGATTAATTCATTGATTAAGTAGATGATAACTCTATATTGTTGGGTTTTTCTTTTCATTCAAATATTTTTGTGCATTTGTGTATGGTTAAATACCTCTAGAAGATTTGGTTATTATAATATTAATTAGCAGATTAATTGTGTATACAATGATCAACCGATAACGGAGTTATCTTCTTTTGATTAAGTTCATAGAGAACGAATGTCGTCTTATTTTTAAATAGGTACACTTCTTATTTTAAAAAACAATACTACTTATACTATTATTTAAATGAACAAATATATAGTTATATACAGCTATAATAAGATTGTTAACAACGGGAATAAGATAGGTAATGTAATAGAACGGTGACGTCAATGTAAAGAAACATTTCAATGATAAGACGAGAGATCTTGAAGCATTGAACGTAGTGACCAAGTGCCGTTGCTTTATCGCCAAAATGGAAAACAATACAACAGCTTATACTTAATGTAAATAGCAACTAGTTTTTGGGACACTTCGCAGTAACAGTTCCGTAATAAATGTTTCCCTGACGGAATTGATTATGGCTCGAAGCCAGTACACAGCGGCACAGTTGGCGAATACAGTTTCACAGATTTAGCACTATCTACGTGGCAAAATGTATTTTTTCCACTTGGTCGAGCCCAGTAGTGCTATGAGTTCGAGTTCCTCGCATTCACGGATTTTTCAATCTATCTACAACACAGAACGACCGGTAGTCCAAACTAAACGTTAGGTTTTGCCTCGATAAATTTTAAATCACCCGGAATAAATTTTCCCGGATTATTTTAGTGGAAAGAAATATTTCGATGCACATATGAGACATGAATAATAATGTGTGGCGTGGAGTTTGATTATGGCCTCTAATAAAGCCGCTGTTAATATATGTTATGAGAATATTTATTTTATTGGACATATTTTTTATAGTACAACTAGCTGACCCCGCAAATAATATTGCTATTAAAAATACCGGTTGGTGATAGAAGGGTGATAATTTAGGGTTGTATGTATTTTTAATAACACATAATAAAAATTTTGCCTAAAAAATAAAAAATAATGTTAAGGGTAGAGTTAGACCTACTGAATATGCATATAAAATTTCATAAAAATCGGTCAAGTCGTTTTAGAGAACTATGGTAACTAACATTCTGACGCGAGAATTTTATATATAGGATTAACACATGTATACTATGACTGATTACATAGAAACTGATTATACATCCAGTAGTATGTAATATTATGTTATCTGTGGTAGTACTATAAGGGTTGTCTCTTGCACATTTTCACCTAATTTCTTATTCAAGTTACAATGACTTTTTATCATATTTTATGCAGGCAAAACTACATAATGTTGTCAGTTTTTTTTAAAAAAAATTATTAGCAGCAGCTGCAATTTTGCCCATTTGAATTTCCTTTGACAGCTTACGAAAGCATTATACATACATCAGAAATTAGCATTAATGTCGTTGTATTTATAATATAATAATAAGAAAAGGAACAAGATTTTTATTGTATGTACTTATTCGGTGGTTACTTTTTTAGTTCATTTTTATAACCTAGACATTACTGCTACTTAATGAAACTTCTAACATGATTTTACGACCCTTCCGTGATGGTAATAAAGTGATAGAACTACTTAGCGGATTTTCGCGAGAACATTTTTCTATGATAACAACTGAAGTAGAATATTCCTTTGGTTGTTATCAAAATGTTTTTAGACATTTATTAATTAGTTATACAAGGTACATGTACAAACATTAAATGTTTATGAAATAAATATTTTTACAGGTCCTTTTAAATTCTAATTATAAAGAAAAATGGTTCTCAGTTCGGTCAGTCAGTGTTTGTTCGTATATTGGTATTAGTTCCAATATGTATACATATATTATCATGTTTTTGTATTAAATAAAACAAATAACAAGTACGGATTTTTTTTATATGGAAAAAATAGTCGATTACGTATATAGCCTACATTATAATATAGTTATAAGGTCTTTATATATAAACGTATTGAGATCGTATGACTTTTTGAAAAGTACTACATATTGTAGTAACTAAAAAGAAACAAAGAGAGCAGTACAAGGTCTGTACATTGTTTGTGGATTTTGATGTTGAGGAATAAAAATAATGAAAGTAAATTATGTTAAATATTATTTAATGACGTAAAACTTTGAAAATATATTTTTAATTATAATATTGTTTAATCGATGTCCAGATTCGCTCCATTCTTCCATGATTTTAAAGCCAACGGAATCTCCAATTTAACCGGGCGTTTTTCAAATGGATAATTAGTAAAGTCTTGCCAGAAGGCTGGTACAACTGTGCGGTAGCCATTATCAAATTGAGCTATAGTTCTGACATCTTCATTATCGAGGGCAAAATCGAAGATTGACGCATTTTCCAATACTCTCGTCCTCGTTACAGTTTTTGGAATGGATACAATACCCCGTTGATACTGAAATAGTAAAAAAGCATGTTTTTTATTCTATAGATTAAATTTAAAAACCTTTGTCTGTTTATTAAGAGAAGTTCAAAAGTACACTTATATGTTGCTTATTTTGATATTTGTTTACAGTCCAAACAGATGTTTATTTGATATACAACAGACTCCTTTTTCCCTATTAATATCTAAATTTTAACAAATTAATGTAACTAATTAAATTATGTCATTTTACAATTCATAATGTATTAATATATATACGAGTACTTCATTTTGTTCAATCCTAATTTAAAAATTGCAATTATTTACATATATTTTGAAATATGATTCTGGCCAGTGATAAAAAATACTACCAAGATGTTCATTAATTATAATGAACATCACTAATAACATAAATAAATACTTTGTCATAACTAGATATATGAACCATAAAATACAGGGAAGTTACACTCACCAAATATCTTAAAGTGACCTGTGTCACAGTCTTTCCATATTTCTTGCCAATAGCCACCAGTGTTGGATTATTCAATTTGGGTTCAGGACTATTTGGTTGTGCACGGCTGGGTACCATGGTACCAAATGGAGAATAAGCTACAACCACTATATTATTGGCCTGACAATAGTCAACAAGTTCTTTCTGACCTAAGTTTAGATTAATCTGTAAAATAATATATTCTGTAGTATGAAATATAACAGAAAGGTCTTTCTGAAAAGCAGAAACAGGTGATTGAAGATCTTGCAATGCCTGCATAGATATTCGAAAATTGTAGCTAATCATATTAATATTGCTCTATTAATTTAATAGCTACGCCACAGATACGAAACACATATGCACATACATTCAGATACTTAGATACGTAAAAATAAATGAACACAATCACAGCTATTATTGAAGTATTATTAGTACTCTTGCAATCGACATGCAACGGGCATTCGTTTTCCGATACTTAAATCCAACATGATAGGGGTCGAGCTTACATCTCAAATCTGTCAGATCAATTTGGTTCGTCATTGGTATTTGACCTCAACGTAGTGTATTCCAATTTGAAACTAACATAAGTAATTTAGTAATTAGATTTTATATCACAGCCCTTGGTGTATGTTGGTGTACTTTCGCCACTCTCAAGGCGAAGGTAATGCCTCAGAAATATTGATTAAAGCTTATTTCAAACGCTACACAAATCCTCTGTGAATTAATTATTAAAATTTACATCTAATAACTCTGCAATATTCTTATTCATAATTTAATAACAAAATTGTAGGAAAAAGAGAATACCTCAACTTGATTAGATGCAGGAACAACTTTGCTATTAGCAAGTAGCCTCTTCAATTGTTCGACGTTGAAGTTTGAAACACCAATGGCCTTTACTAATCCTTTTTGTAAAACAGATTCAAAACCACGCCATGTTTCGAGGTAATCAATCTTCTCGTCGACACCATCTTGCTGAAAAAAAAATACATACGTTTGAATTACAATCACTTCAAATTTGTTTAAAAATAAGTTAAATCCATTGTGAAATACACTTTTTTATATACGAAGAACTTCAATACCACTTTAGAAGACACTTTTTAAACTCCTCTATATATTACATTCCTGGCTGATCTACAGTGATCAGTCATCATATCTTAAATTAAAAAATAACTTTGACTATCTAATTATTTTTGTTAGGTTTTACTATATATAGATTGATCAAAGTAGGTAATATATATAATATAATAGGAAAATTTAAAAATGTTGGAGTTTAAATTTGAGATTCGTATCCAAACTCATCCTTAAATCATCGAGTTAGATGTTCATAAGTTGAGTAGGTACTATTTGTATGCAAACTAAGTTGTAAGTGACAGCTGGTAGAATATCTTACGAATTCTCAATAAACTTACCGATATTGACATAGGCCAGTGCATTAAAACAAGATCCAAATATTCAAGATTCATGCGCCGTAATGAAGCTCTGACTGAGACCTCAACATCTGCTTCACGGTGGTAATGATGCCAGACCTGAAAAATTATTAGTTACATATAAGTGGTACATATAAGACATCTGTGAATATTTCTCATTATATAAATTTATACACATATATATACTATAATTAACCTGCGAAGAGATATCTAGTATTTTTTACACAAATTAAACAAGATAAATAACTCAAATGTCAGTCTGGAGGAGGAGAAACAAATAGCATATATCATTAGCATTTCTATTAATTCTTTTTAGAATGTTCTTATTTTAATAATTTTTCCATGTGTCCATGTATACTTAAAAAAACGTCCTCATATAAAACTGGAAATAAATTTACTGTTAAACGTGTTAAAACTAACCTTGGTAGTAACAAACAATTCCTCCCTCTTCACAACTCCTTCCTTTATCTTTTTATTTATCACTTCCCCTACTTCCGGCTCCACCCTGTATAAATGTGCTGTATCAATATGCCGATAACCTATGTCAATGGCATAGGATAGAGCATCTACCATCTTCGGCAGGTCAGTTGTATCGAATACACTCTGAAATATTAATCAATATTTAGATTATTACCCGTAAAACATTTTTGTTTAAAATCTTAATAAAATATAATTACATATACTAATGCAATATTTTTATTATATCGAGGTAAACGAATTGTACCATTGCATATACTTTATGCAATGGTACAATACAATTTCTGCGTGGCTATATCTATTTCTGCTGACGAGTAGGTTAGGTACCTTTGTTTGTTTCCGGTGAAAGGGAAAATACCACAGGGTGCGAAGGCATTACACCTTAGCCCTATGGAATGTTAACAAATGAGGGATACCACAAACATAATGAAGTGATGTCTGTACATGGAAATATAGTGTACATAAAAATATATATACATATATATGAGTGTTCGCGCCTACAAAGTTCCATACAGCAATTAATTTTTTTTTTGGTTATTGTTTAATTATTCATAAAGGCGCTTATAAATAAAGGGTAGACAAATTATTACTTTGAAATTGAAGAGCAATGTCATTCAAACACTTTCTACTAGACAGCCAATACATTCGCATCTATCCATACAGTTATACACATTTTTATACATTCTTTAAATCAAGTAAATTACATGAAGCAATAAATCTTATATTCAACAAAAAAAGAGTTTCTCTATATAACCATAAGAAGCTCCAGATGTCATCCTAGACAATGAGCGTTTGCCACTTTCCGTCCAATACACCATCAGCTTATTTTCTATTCCATTTAAAAACAAATTTAATTATTAAGTCATATCGCGTTTTTAATAAACTTTATCCTTCACCCAAATTTCATGTTGCCTGTGACGTTCGTAATTATAGTTAGAAATTTTGACAGTGCATGAACTTCGGCGCAACGGATTGATACTTCAAGCTAGGCATTAAAATTTGCAAAACAAAATTTCGATATAACAAGTTATAATTATTTGTACGGATTTTACTAGACTAGTGTAAGTTGTATGCTTGATAAAGCTGAAGCTGAATACAGCTTGAGTATCTTTGTATTAGCTACGTGAAGGAAGCGATTTTGAATGAGCAGGACAGTTTGCTTGTTTACCATTATTGTGTACCGGTATTGTATTGTGTACCGGTATTGTATTGTGTTACCGATTACTCGAATTAAACTTCATAAAATTTCATATTTTACCTTTTCATTGAGACCGAGCCATGTTCCATATCCCACTGTTGGGATATCTCTGCCATTATTAAGCTTAATCGTTGGAATATTTAACTGAAATAAAAAAGAGATGTGTTTTTAAACAATATCTAGTTTAAAATGATAATATGTTCATATTTAAAAAAAAATTTTGATTAATTTATGATATTTTATTTTTATTTATTAAATAAAAAAGATAATATGCTAAATATATTAAATTTATGTCTCTATTGAGAATAAGAATTATACTGAGTTAGTAAAAAATAAAATACAATACAGTATAAAAAAATAAATTTAGAACACAAATTAGGTATATTGTTAACAAGTGTAAATATTTAAACTACTTCTAATCCCGTTTAATTAATATTTCCGGTCATGCCACAAAATATGTACGTAAAATAATATTTTAATATAACTGTTGCAAACTCTTTGCACATTTTAATATATTTATTTTTCTACCAATTTTAAATGTATTTTCTTTTAGAATTGTCATATCTACTTATTGACACTTTTTGTCTTACAACCGTTTGTACACGTATTTTCATTATAAGTATTTACAACTTTCTATCCATTGTTTGATTTACAGTACACATACAGTCCACTCATTCTATAACCTACATTTTGGTCCTACTTCGGCAGAATTCCAACATTTACATCCTACAATAACATCATAGATGTTATATTAAAATTTTATGTATATATAATTGATATAACTAACAGATGTACCAGATATGTGAATACCAATAAATATTAGAAACGTGAAAGTGAGTTTATTTGTTTATTTTATATGTTATATTTTTAAGCATTACGGTCTGAATAAATTGACGTAAAATTTACCATATTCATACATACACAGCGGAGAAATACATATTAAAAACAGACAACGCAAGTAAATTTTTTATAGTTTGTTATGTAGTAATTTTTTTACCCCACCCAGAAAGTTTAAATAGCATATTTTTTATTTTTTTTATTAAGAAATAATAATAACAATTCAATAAAAAATAGGTTATTTTTTATCTACCCACATTGGTTTGTAATTATTAGATGTATAGACGAAGTCACGGTAAAAGACAGTATTTTATTCGAGTACATTCTGAATAGACATCAGTAATAAATTTGTAATAAAACATTCATACACACAATACATTATTTGTACATACGTATAGATACAAAACTATCAACCATATGCGTTTCAACTACAAGGTCATAATAGAATACGTATTTCCTATAACTTTTGTGTTTTAATTCTGTTTAATGTTAGAACTGGAACAAATGTATGATTTTATAAAATACTCTATTTCTACACGTCGTACTTTTCAATACAGAGGGACACAATAATTACATATATAATATTTTAGTGGTAATTTTGAAATAACAAAAACTCACCTGAGCCATCGTGAGCACGATATTATGCGTGTTTAATATGCCGGCCGGCTGTTCCACAACTGACTATAGTACCACCAAATCACATAACATTGAAGCTATAAATATCACAGATTCGTGATTACAAGTGGTATTACAAGCGTTGGTAAAAAAGTCTCTTATATATACGCGAGTATACATTTATTTTCACACTACTTATCGTATTAGAAACCGACTTCATAGAGATATTTTTTAATTTATATATTCCTGTATATACTACGTAGGTATATGTCAACTATGTGTTAGGATGCTATGGGACCGACATACCCTAGACAAATATAAATGAAAACAGTTGCTGCGCATTTTAATATGTGTACGATATACGTAATATATTCTAAAATTACAATTACAAACAAATCTTCTTATATATTTTTTACTTATACAAATTCTTTACATTGTAATTAAGTCAATGTACCATACATTGAATTGACGATTGATACATTGAAAAATTACATCATATAAAAAATATTTAGATGAAACTTACTAAATCAAACAAACTACACATCTTTTATTTTTAAAACTTTTAGTCATTTATGAAAAGGAAGATTTTACTAAAATGTTCCTTGTCATATATAGTACATTACCAAAAACTAGACATACTATTATAACTGCTTTGTTTTAATTAGATACTGTTATCAATAAGTAAGTTCTTAAATAAGTTTTTATTTATTTAGGCGATAGTTACAAATTCAGCGAATTATTCTTAAGTTTTAAATACAATTCATAATAAACGAACTTATAGGGAGTCTTGTTGTTAATCAATCAAACTTATTCTAGAATGTGATTCAAATAAATAACATATAAAAGTATATTAATTTTTTTATGTAAAGAATGGTATATCTGAACTATTAATTTTTAACTCTTTGTTGATAACGTATCTTGTTTTTACAGTCATGGGCAGTGGAAGAAAAATCGGTTAAACTGATAAATGATACTCAGATTGTTAATAAGATAAATAAGAATGGCTTTTGATAGTCAACAAATGATAAAATTGACTGATAAAGTGATATAACATACAGTCACGGGTTCGATTTCGCATCATACAAAAATGGAGCAAAAAAAATATTCTTATAATTTACCTCCCTACCTATTTTAATAATGAGTTATATAATGAACGTAATTACATATGTATATGAATAAGAATCACTAACACTTATGTAAAATTTGCAAAATAAAGGAAAATAAAAAGGGAGCAATTATTTTTATTTTGCTATTCACTTAAAATATAATACATAATTTATTTACTTATATGTGCTTTAAAATTAATATTACCTTTAAATTTATTGCGCTAACTACATAAATATATCTTAGTCACTATTTATATTTAATACAGTCCAAATAAATAATATAAATACAGGTATTTTAATGGCAAGAGCTGTAAATACTGTTAGGTAATAACACTGTTTATTATAAACAATTTTTCATATCGTTACCATTTGTTAGATATGTGTATGATATGACAAAAAAATAACACTTAACCTAAGAAGATTCATGACACGAAAAATAAAACATCGAGTTAATATGTATTAAGAGGGTAATTATCACGTCTGTATTCTATTTTTTAATTAAAAGTAATCTTAGTTCATTAAAAACTGTTTCTAATATTAAACTCTAGAATCAAATGTAGAGATACCTACTTCTAAGACTCATATCTTATTCTGCATACCTCTGACGAAATATATTTCTTTTGCTGTCCCTTTTAAATATAATTTTAAAATGCCGCTAAATTAGATGTTGTTTATAACTCATTTAAGAGAATTATAAAAAAAAACAAAATCTTTTGATGTTTTACGTAAATACCTTCTTATGAGAAATACAGATGGGGAAAATTTTCTAGTCTCTTTAATTTGGTGACTCTCTTAAATATAGACCTATAAAGGTATATAAATAAACCTTTTGATTACATTAAATAAGAATTTTACCTATTACCTTAGTAGTCGTTAACTTACTTCATAAATGTGTATCATCAGTAATGAAAGGTAATTGACGAAAAGAATTCATTCAATTCATATTTTAATAATAACATTTAGTGTATATAGTACAATACAATGTTGCTACTTTCATGCATATAATTAATTATACGACTAGTAATAGATTAAAGATTAAATTATAGATTTTAGAGGACGGTCGTGAACTATCTTTCATTTTAGAAAGAGCAAGTAAAATCGCGGAAGCGCAGTTAGTTTGTTATAGATATTTGGTTTATTACATCTGCGAATCCACGACAACAAAAAGCAAGGATTTTTTTACTCTGTTTGTATTTGACAGAATACGGCTAATTTATAAGCGGTAAACAAAGAGAACTCGTCCAAGAACCTTTGTTTCCTTTACGGGGTCGTAAGAACATTACTTGCACTCTCACTAAATCAGCTCTGTTTATTCTTAGTCCTGTCGACATAATAAATTAATTTAACGTATTAAATTAGTCCTATTAAAAATGGCGACAGCTCAGTTGTTAGAACGCTTGACTTTAACAGTAACTTCAATAACAAATACCAGACGAAATCTAAATTTTCAATGAACTTTTATATAAGAGAGTCATAGATTTAATTGCTACTCTTGTGCCTATATGCCTTCGTCAATTCGATACTCTTCAATTGATAACAATGACATGTTTAAAAATCTCCGCTATATCTGCGAAAATGTCCATCTGTTGTTTGTTACCTTTTCAAAACAAAGAGGCTGAACAATATTTTATAACACAGTATGTAAAAGATACACCTCCGTTTTCCTAATAAACTAAGACGGCGTCACGGGTAATAGCTAGTAACTATCTATATATATATATATGATAGCGTTTCTATCGGTCTAACTTCATTTGATTATTTGTTACCTTTTAACTAATTATTTTTATCAAATAGATCACGAGACCGCGAAAATATTTTTTTTTTGAAATGGGAAGGACTTTCATGAGTACTATTACAGACTTTACTAAATTCTTGCGACTAATATAAGTACAGTTTTAGTTTAAATAGCCACATTAAGAATAGATACTACGTCTCTTAAGTATTTTTGCTTTCATTTCAGCTCAATCATGTTCAAAAGTCAGTTTACAGATCGTAATTACGTTTATCATGAGTTAGTAGGTACAAGTAAAGCAGCCAAAGCTCTTTATGAGTCGGATAGATTTTGATTCCGCTATATTGATTCGTTGATCTCAATACGGATTGAAATGAGTTACATAATACACCTATATTTTTGGGTTCGGCAATTTCATTCATCTAGAAGATTTGTAAACGTAAACCTTGACCTTTGGACATAAAATGTTCGCAAATAAACAAACATTTTACATAGAGTCAGATATATTAAGAACAATAGTTTCTAATCTAATGTTTTAGGATGTATGATAGGATAACAAACTATGATAATCATATATGCTTAACAAGAATTATGTTACCGAACCTTTCGTCATTTATGTAAATGCGAACATATAGGTATATAAATATATACTAATATGTACATTATTATTATATGACAATATAATGTATATATATGTCTTGTACCTATATGACAATAATGTATATATGCATTATTAGTATAATTAACGTTGGCGTTTTCACATTATTATTATATTACATATGGATAATGATTTACAATTTTCAATATAGAAATGTATATATATAGTCTTGGTTTAACAAACAGCTATGGACACAGCCGAGTGACGTTGCAGTAAATTTATTTAATATACCATTTGTTTTTTTAGCTTAAATTTGGTAAATTAAATGATGGTAAAATGTTATATATGAATAATAAAAGTTTTTTTATCTATAAACCTGTCGGTTCACGTAGTTGAATAAAATCTTGCTTAGAAATCTGAAGAAGAATCATCCTTCATTTCATCATCTCAGACTTTATTCAAAGTCGTTTGTATCTCTCATTCTATTATTTGTTATTACTACAATTCTGTACTTATTTTTGTAAAAGAGCTAAGCTTATTTGTGAAATATGTTTCAGTTGATTGTCAAAATATGGCAATAATCAAGTATTATTGCCTTATTTTGACAAAAAGGCAAGCCTTTGTAGGGTACAAAATGCATGATATTTAAATCCTCAGGGGGCGTATTATGAATTAAGACGTTGGTTCTTTTTCGTTTAATCAGTCCTTGTAATGGAGAATTTCTGATTTTGACAAAATATTTTTAGTAAATTAAATATAGTAATTAAGTAAACATTTGTGTTTACAAAAATATTCCAGACAGTTTTATTGGATAATTTGTAAAAAATATTTTCATTGTAATATCCAAACGAACTTTGTGCATCTACTTAAAACAAAGTAAATTTGATTTTATGTACAATTTGAAACTTACTTTACATACCAAGTTAAATTTAATTTTAATTAGCCATACACGGTTTCGCTAATATTTCATAAATTAGTAGTAGGGACTGAGTCCGTACATTATACTCAGCTTTATTTAGTCGAAAAGTTAATGAGTACCCTGAATTTTAATTTACTATAGGAATCTCAATCTGAAATACATGTATCTTGCAAATAAATTGAAGTATCTGTTTGTAATTTTGAAGTTCACCATACAACAGATTTTCAGTATATGCATACATATATAAGGTAAGATAAATGACACTTGTTTGTTCTTGCTAAGGTTTACATAGATTTGCGATGAAAAGGGGTAGTTTGCAACCCTTATCAAATTTTGGTATGTAATACGGCTAACCCTAGAGTTAATTCGATAGAGGGTGTTTTGGAATTGACGTTGCAGTAAATTTATTTAATATATCGAAAATAATAGTCATGCGTATGGTAGCAATCTATTGGTTATTGAAAAATTTGTTTTTTTACTTTTCTTATAAATTTGGTATAATTAAATACGATTATTCTAAGATAATTTACATAGTCTACATACGAGTACATATTTTGCATGTCTAAAAGGTTAATTTATATAATTATATTAAAAAAAGATATTAAAAATGCTTATATTATTAAACATGTCTTTTAAATGTAAGAATTGGATATACTATACTGAAATAATAATAAAAGTTTATATTGACCTATGAA